CACTTTTGAACGTCATGTCAGAACATGAAGTGCGAGCGTCTTTCCCCTCGTGCACAGCATCCGACAGCAGTAATTATTTCAAATTAAAGTCACCTCGTGTCTCTTCACGATCTTTTGAATTACCGATACATCGAAGTGTGAACGTTTTAAAGAATGCGCGCTCGTTTTCGACTGCTGATCTCTACGACCTTGAGGCTAGAATGGCTTTAAACATCAAGTCCAGTCAAGAAAGGAGCCCATTACTACGTGATCATCGCTTTCGTTTTTTAAGTGATACTGAGATGCTTCTGGCTGCAAATCCTGAATCTACCCGTGAGTCCCTTGCAACTCTTAATGAGACGGATGAGAAGGCTTGGCACCAACGATCTACTGATGTAATTTTAAAGATGCTTGATACGAATTTCTATCATGGATTGGATGGTTTGGATGTTGAACGTCGATTACTGCGCTACGGTCTAAATACACTCGAACAAGAAGCCAAAACACCCATTTTGGTGATCTTTCTATTGCAGTTCTACAACCTTATCATTTCCATGCTGCTATTTGCTGCGGTAGCATCCTTGGCGCTCCAGGAATGGGTTGAAGGCATTGCTATTCTTGCAATTGTCATATTAAATGCAATAGTAGCTACGTATCAAGAACACTCAGCAAGTAACGCACTGGCAGCACTCATGAGTTTGTCAAGTCCACAGTCTCTTGTCATTCGTGACAATACGCAACAAGTGGTGGATAGCAAGTTGTTGGTACCCGGTGACATTGTCATTCTCGTAACTGGCGATGTTGTCCCTGCTGATATCAGATTGATTGCAAGTGTCGATCTTAAATGCAACGAGATGCTGCTTACGGGTGAGTCGGAGGATGTGCCAAAGAAATACAATGCCTTAATGCACCCTGCTGGAGCTGGCAAACCGGAAAAATTAACTGCAAGCAACATGGTCTTCTCATCAACAACAATCACAACGGGTAATGCTCGTGGAATTGTTGTTGAAACTGGGATGAAAACTCGGGTGGGCTCAATTGCAGCTTTGCTGCAGGCCAAAAGCGGCACGGATGCCACCGCGAATAAAAAATGGATTCAGAACCCAATAAGCGATTGTGTTGCCAAGCACCGACCAAAGCTTACGCCTTTGCAACGGGCTTTACACCATACCGGCTATATCATGGGTCTTATCGCCGTAGGGGTCGCAATTCTTGTTTTTATCGTCGGCATGATCCGTGGCACGGTAGATCCGCGCCATCCTGACCGACCGACGTACCTGACGATGATCATGGCCGCTGTCTCGATGGCAGTAAGTGCAGTGCCGGAAGGTTTACCAATGGTCGTGACGATTTGCCTCTCGTCAGGAACTGCTGAGATGGTTAAGAAGAATGTGCTAGTGCGAAAATTAGCGTCAGTGGAGACGCTGGGTGCTGCATCTGTAATTTGTACCGACAAGACGGGCACGCTAACTGAAGGCAAGATGACTGCAGTGAAGCTTTGGGGTGATTTTCAAGAGTATGTGATCACTGGGAAAGGATTTAATCCTGACGGTTCAATTTTAGCGGCTGACGGGAAAAGTCAGGCCGCTAGCAATGCTCTAGTTCGTGCGACGTTAATGGCTTCGGTGCTATGTAGCAATACGCAACTCAAGCAAGTGGAAAGCGAAGACGGCGAGACACTGCGGTGGGTACCATTTGGAAACTCGTCTGAGGCCCCTTTAATAGTCGCCGCTGCCAAGGCAGGGATTTGGGAAGACAATCTTTTGGAAGATTACCCGCGTCTTTTAGAAGTACCATTCAGTTCATCTCGTAAGATGATGATTACCGTGAACGCAGTGCCGATTATAAACGGCATTGCGATGTTTGACGACCTGGAGCTTCCTGGTAAGCATCCTCCTCGACTTGTGGCTAACGTTAAAGGTGCCCCTAATTATATTCTCCGCAACTGCGCACAGTATTGTTGTATGGATGGCACGTTCAAGTCATTAAACGTTGAGCAATGCAATGAGATTTTAAATGCTGTCGATGCTCTTTCGTCGCAGGCCCTTCGTGTTCTTGCCGTGGCAATTCGACCATTGCATGAATTGCCTTTTGGCAAAGACTGTGATGACGTGGATGACAAGTTTACAGCTCTATCCACACCGCTAGTATTCCTTGGTCTCGTTGCCTCCATTGACCCAGAGCGTGATGGAGTCCGCGATGCCATTGCAACAGCACGTGCAGCCTCGATCCGCACTGTGATGATCACGGGTGACTACCTCGCCACCGCCGTTGCAATTGCAAAAAACATTGATTTACTTCAGGTTGGTACTGATCCGAATGCTCAAGCAACAGATTGCATACAGCTTCGCCCTCAAGGAGATGTGTATTTACCATCAGCTGACATTGATGAGATTACGTCGCGCACGCTCGTTTTCGCTCGAGCCAAACCCGAAGACAAGATTGAAATTGTCAAGTCACTTCAACGCCAAGGCCTCATTGCTGCTATGACTGGTGATGGCGTCAACGACGCACCTGCTCTGAAAGAAGCTGATATTGGTGTGGCCATGGGCATATCGGGTACTGAAGTTGCGAAGGGTGCGTCCGACATGATTTTGACTGATGACAACTTTTGCAGTATAGTATCTGCTGTGGAGAAGGGCCGCGTTATTTACGCCAACATTCAAAAGTTTGTCATATTCTTCTTGTCAACGAATATTGGTGAGATTATATTAATCTTCACCTCAGTTGCCGGTGGCTTTCCACTCCCGCTGGAAGCCCTGCATATTTTGCTCCTCAATCTGTTCACGGATGGTATGCCTGCAGTTGCATTAAGCCTTGAAATGGGCGACCCTCATATCATGGCGGAAAAGCCCCGTCACAAAGAGTCGTCTCTCATACAAGGTCGACTATGGTTACTTATTCTCATCAACGCCTTCTTGCTTTTTGCCGGTGCTATGATAACGTTCCTTTTGGGGCTGTACTGGAATTTTGGAGAGCTTCTGACAAGCGACATTTATAGTGCAGGTGGAGGTTCTGATGGAACTGACTATACGGATGTCACATGTCGACGCTGGGAAGGGATAAACGAAGGCTGGAGAGTGTACGGAAACTGTGCTGCAAAGTACGTGGACGGGTCGTACATTTTTGGCGATGAGGTAGCTGGCATGACCTCGTTCAAAAATTCGACGATTTATTGCGAAGGAGGCGACTACGACTGTGTCCCAGCTGGGTTGGGTCGTGCACAGACAATGGTATTTCTGGGACTAGCTTTCACAGAAGTACTGAGAGCTTACACGGTACGCCACTTAACTGAGCCAGTGTTCACCCGGTTACTGTCGAATGGCTACATGCAGCTTGCAGCTTGTATGTCAGTAACAATGACAGTTGTTGTAACCAACGTTCCTATCATTATGGACGATATCTTTGACTTTGAGTACATCTCTTGGTATCAATGGCTCATAGTTGGAGCAGTTGCGGTGAACAATGCTTTCTGGGGTGAAGTACTAAAAGCCATTTTACGAAGAAATGACCGTGCTCAGGCTCGTTGGGACCACATGAAGTCTGGCTTTGACGAGATTTTGCTTGAAATTCGGCATTTGCGTCACCATGTAGAGCGACTTGAAGCCAGTGGGTTCAAGCGAGAGTAGAAGCTTTGGCGTGTATCTAGTACTTTTGACTATGAAGCTCTAATGACTCGCCTCGTGAGCGGATACAAGTGGTCGTTTGCCTACTCAAAGATTTTTGCGAACGTGGAATCTCCAAATATCGAATCCTGAGTATGAAATTCTCAGTTGAAAACTACATTACGAAAGAAAAAACTAAAATCCTCAAGATAAAAATAAAAAAGCTTTACAAACCAAACTACAATGACTGTTAAACCACGTTTATGAGCTGAGTGCCATTTTTTTTAGTGTAATTTTGGCCTCGTCCAAATATATTCTGGCTTATGTCGCAGGTATATAAGACTCGATTCCCCGTAGTGTGAGCTTTATGTTGACAGCACGTCGGGCATTTTTCAAACGATCATTTGTATGGAAGAGCACTCCGGAGGTAGTAATAAGCAAACGTTTATCGAAGCAAAAAACATGAATAGTGGCAATCGTGACGGGTTACAGATCTGCACGGCATTCTTGCCTGCAAAACTTCATGATTAGGACGTGAAACATCCAGCAAACAAAAAAAATTGCTGCCGAGCATCGATTGCGTTATATAGTATCGAGCAGTTTCATGAAATCAAGCGCTTGGTTGCGTAGATATACATATCAGGGAAGATTACTGAGAAAATTTTTACATTATCATTGTATATGTGAATGAGGCTCAAATCTGAGCCAGTAGCTAGATAATTTGTGGCCGAGATGGATTATTTCATGTGCTTATCGATACAAGTCACAGAATATGTTTTGCAAGAATTTTTAAAGGCAATTTTGGTAATTTATCGCTACACCACTGGGCGCATGTTCTATACACGAACCAAAAACTATTCTGGCACCAGGATATAAGCGGCATTTGGCTTTCTCGTTTTGCTATATGTATCAGAGGAAGCTAGCACATCGGTCGTATTGTATGTCTTAAAAAAAGAAGAATGTCTCAAGATCAAAGTTATCAAACAGCAGCGGGGCGACAAAGTGCATCCGCGTTTAGAGGCTGTTGAACAAAATAGGTGGCCCGATACGCTACCCCTGCGCAAAAGTGCTGCAAATGTCAGATAGGAA